CAGCGAGTTAGGCCGGCCGCGGCTGTTTCATGCAGCCGTCGGGCTGGGATCGTCCTCCGCGCAGGCTAGCCTGGCCTGGAGGGCTTTTCACACCGAAAGGAAGTGCTTAGTGTCCCCGCCGTAACTTCTCGCCCCTAAAAAGACCTGTATTGTTTTGATGGACGTTTTTCAAGCTACCGTGATGAGCCCTGGCAGCAGATGCCTCTGCTCTGCCTTTTGGTGCTGCGGGGACTTTCTGTCTCCGCCGGCAGGAAGAGATTAGCGGCCGAGCTGTGACCTGCAGGCTCAGATGAGAGCGTGGAGCTGAATTGCACTGCAACGGTGACGGGTGGTCAAAAACGTCCCCGTTGCATGGCTGCGAGCAGAGACGCCCCGTCGGCCGGGCGCGCGGCTGCAGCGTGCCAGCCGGCGTGCAACCGTCCGCTGTGTGCTCTCCTCCCAGGGACAGCGGGGACGACATCGAGCTCGCCGCCTGCGCGCAGGGAGCCTGCCTGCCGGGCAGGGTGTCCTCCTGCAGCTGCGAATTTCTGGCTGACGGTAAGGGTGTCTGGAAAAACAAAGATCCCCAGAAACGTCCCCGTGGGAGGGTGGGCGTCTCTGCATGTCAGCTCTCGTTTGGGCAGCCAGATCCTCTTGGCGACGGCAGGAGGGAGCCTGAACCATGGCAAGTACCGTGTGCCGTAGGGATGGGTCTTCCTCTGTCCATCAGCTCCCTCACCCCTGGCCTGACAGCCAGGTAGGGTGGCTCCCGGCCCTGGGGAGGTGGCCCACCCCTGCTGAAGACTCCTACACGGGTGCGTGTAGGAAATGGAGCCTCCAGCTCCAAGCAATGGGGTCTCCGGGCACCAGTGAGACGTCGAGCTCCATCTGCCCACCCTTGTCCCCATGGCTGACCGAGGCACGGCCGTGCCAGGGTCTCGCCCACCGCAGCCACGCTGGTTCCCTGGGAAGGAAACCCAGCGCAAGCTGCGGACAGGTCTCCACCAGCTCCCGCCAGACCCCTGCGCTGGGCTGAGATACTTTGGAGAGCCGGAGGGTCGCTCCTGCACATGCGGTGTCCTTCGGAGCAGGTAGCTCTGAGCCTTGTCCCGCGACCGTGGGAGACACTGAGCCGTGAACACGTCCCTCTGCGAATTCCCTTCCAGATGCGCACAGGCCGCCGGACAGATGTGCCATGCCCAGCGCTCACAACGCCACCTCTGCCGCCGCCACTGTCGTCACTGCGACCCCCGG